GAATTGGGGGACATATAAGCCTGCCCATTATCCGTTTTCCTGTACAAGTCAATGGGGACCCAACTATGTGTGCATCCTTTAGCCAGGAGCCTCAGGTCTTTCCAGACTTCTTTGCAATACTGCCTGATGAGGTGAATTCGTTTCCTTCACAGACTGGCTCTTGGCAAGGCAGCCTCTGTTTCCCTTGCCTCTGCCTTCCCCATCTTCTTCTCTTTGCTCCACGGTCCATCTGCCCCTCCTTTCCTCATCCGCCTCTCCTCTCTGCTCCCCTTTATTTCCATCCCACCCTCGTGGCTCGGCTCTCCCTCCCCTTTCTCCCCTCGGCTCGTCTGTTTGGAGCTCCCGGAAGCCGCCGGCGACTCTCCCCTGGAGCACGCGTGACCGATACTGACTCCCATTCGGGGGGCGGAGGAAGAGGGGAGGAGAAGGGAGGAGGGTGCGAAGTAGCCTAACCCGGATTTGCATTACTGGGAGGACGGGGACCCCAGGGCACGGGAGCAGGTAATCCTGAGCGGGTGGGCCGCGGGCGTGGGGAGGGCGGGTGCAGGTGTTGGGAGCGCTTGACGGCCGGCGGGCGCTAGCAAGTTGCGCGCCTCGGGTCGGGTGCTGAGCTGCCGGGCGCGGCGGCTGCGCGCGGGGAATAAAGGCGGCCGGCGCGGGCGCTGGGGCCGGGATGCGGGGGCGTGTGGGGGCGAGGGCGGGGGTGAGGGCACCCGGGCGCAGGCAGTCCCCATCTGGTCAGTGCAGCAGCGCGCTCTGTCCGCGCGGCTGCCTACCCGGTCTCAGAGAGCCCCTCCGATCGCCGGCGCCAGGGTGCGGGGGACAGCGGGCTCCAGGCCGGCCCCCGCCGCGGCCTGCCCACCCGAGGCCGCAGCCACCCCAGGCCGCCTAACTTTAAGGGTCTCGCCTCGTCGGTCTGAGCTTCACGGGGTGCGTGGGGTGGGGGGAGTGCCATGGAGGTAGATGTGACCAGAGCCCCCCGATCTGGATCGGAAAGTGCTGGAAAGCCTCTGACCTGGCTTCTCTGCAGAACCTGACTTGAAGCCATGAGTCACTTGTAAAAAATGCAAAGGCAACTGAGGCACCGAGGGACAGCTCCGAAAATGGTACCCTGCAGCTGGCTCCCTGACTGCTTCTAGGAGCGGGTAGTTCATGAAAGTAGCCCCTTTGTCATTGTTTTTTTGGTGGTTGTTGTTGTTTTGGCTAATAACCAGCCTTTAAGATTAAGAATATGCCTTCAAGTTTTAAGCAATGTTTTGAAAGTATGCATTCTTTAAAATGTGAAAATATGGTTGGCTGCATTTAGGATATTGAAGTAGGATTAGGTCCAAGCAGCCAGAGTGAAGATGAACACTGAGCAAAAAGGTCAAGGGCTTTTGGTTATCTGGTCGTGGGAATGCAGAAACCTCTGGAACAGTTTATCAGAACTGTTTTACAGGGTGCCATGCTTGTTAACTGTGATCTAGTTTTCATCTAAGGAACTTGCCTTACAGTTCTTCGTGAAATATCTAAGCCCACTTAATGTAAGATTACAATGGTAGCGTGATTGGGTGGGGAAGTTATGGTTACAACAGTCTGTTTAGACTGCAAGCCTGTTGAGGGTAAGTAGGGTTTTGTGTTTGGGGGTTTTTTGGTAGTTCCCACAGCACTGCATAGTAACTGTCTCACTGCTTGTTATAAAAGGCAAATAAAAGTTTGTAAAAATAATTAAGTCAATAGTTGAGTGTGGCTAGGGCATGACTTGTTGAGGATACTGCATGGAAAAGGCTGTTTTTCCATGAATCCCTAAATCTAAAAATCCTTAATGAAATTAGAATCAAGGCACCTTAATAATAACACATATATTAAGGAGAAAGAGAAAAAAGAAGACCGCTATGAGAAATCATGAGTGGGGCCTTTCCTAGTAGAAAGTTTTGCTGCCCATCTTTTGAAACAAGAAGTAATTTCATTTGTTGATGCAGTGTAGGGGCTGGTAAGCTTTTCTGTAAAAAGTGAGAGAGCAATATGTAGGTTTTGTAAAGAGACCATGTGGTCTGTTAGTAACCACTCAGTTTGAAGTTTGAAGTCAGATCATTTTCACTAGGGACAAAATATTATTTCTCTCCAACCCCCTCCCCACCCCGCCCCCAGCCAGGCATTTAAAAAAGTATAAAAAACTATTCTTAGCTCAGAGGAGGAGGAGAAACAAAAAAGAGAGGAGGGGGAAGTGGATTTGTCCTGCTGGCAGTAGTTTGAAAACTCCTTCCCTCCAGTGCTAGAGTCTGGAGTGGAACCTTTTGAAAGGATTAATGGGTTAGATTCTCCAAGTGCCTAAATGACGCCTGGGAGTTATGTTAAATGCCCTCAAGAATAGCATTCACATATTTTAGGCATAAAAGAGAAAAATAACATTTATTTTCTTTTAAGTGTTTCTTCACAGACATCTTTATGCATGAAGTTTTGCTTTGTTTTTAATTCATCTATAATGTAATATGCATACAAATATGTTAGGTCTTTGTAAATTATGAACATTATATTTAAATGGAGTGAAGTCATCACCAGGTTTAGAACTCGGGCATAAGAACTACAGAACTGTGAAAAGGTAACTCATGGGGTGGATATTTTTAAGTCATATGCATGATAAGGGACTCATCCTCACATTATATAAAGTGCACATTTTGTTCAATAATAATAAGATTTAAAAATTTTGTAAATGGGCAAAGGAGCTGAATAGATATTTTTCCAGAGCTGCCAGTAAGTCAACCTCAAGATTCGCCAAATGCAAATCAGTGAGATACTGCTTCATACTCACTAGTATGGCTGTAATCAGAAAGTCAGATTAAAGCTGGGTATGGTGGCGCACACCTCTAATCCCAGCTCTTGGGAGGTTGAGGCAGGAGAATCATGAATTTGAGTCCAGCCTGGGCTACAGAGTGAGTTCAAGACTAGCCAGGGCAACATATTGAGAACATCTCAAAAAGAAAAGAAAAAAAAAGTCAGATTGAGAATGTGGAGGAATTGTGACGCTCATGCATTGGTGGTGGGAATAGAAAATGATGCGTTCTCTTTGAAATCAGCTGACAGCTGTTCAAATTAAATATAAAGTTACCATATGACCTAGGAGTTCTACTGTAAGTATATAGTCAAGAGAAATGCAAGCATGTGTCCATACAAAAGGCTGCACATGGATGTTTATAGCAGCACATGCAAAGAGCAAAAGGTAATACCCATCACGAATGGATAGATAAAATGTTATATCCATTAAATAGTATACTATTTGGCCATAAAAAGGAATGAAGATTGTTCTTGTTCTCATTCTCACTCTACAGAAGACCCACTTTCAGTCTATTGAAAGTGTATTCCTTTCCTAACAAACTTTATTATCACCTTAACTAAAAAAACAAAAAAGAAGTACTGTCATCTGCTGCAACATGGGCTAGCCTTGAAAACATGCTAAGTGAAAGAAGCCAGTCACAAAGACCACATATTTTATATTCCATTCGTGGGAAAATGTCTAGAAGGAGGAAATCATTAGAGACAGGAACTAGATTAGTTGTTGCTTAGGACTGGAGGGTGGCAAGGGATTGATAGATAAAGGGTACAGGGTTTCTTTTGAAGCTGATGAAAAGGCTCTAAAATTGAAGGGTGATGGTTGCACCTACTGAAAAGTAAATGGGTGATTTGAATAGTGTATAAATTAAGTCTCCTGTTAAAGAAAACGAACTGCAGAACTGGGTTGTTACCATCCTGTTACATCCTTCTTTGGACCACTTCCCCCATGCCATTCCTCATCCCTGTCTCCTCCTCCACCCTGAACTTAGTGTTAATCATTCCCTGGTTGAAGAATAAAATGATTGTGTGATGTATGTGTGAATTCCTAAAACAACAAATTCTTTAGGTTTATGTGTCTGTTTATTTATTAAAAAGGTATATCTCTTAAGACTCAACATTAAGTCTTTAAGAATCAGCCATATTGTTATATGAAGTTATATAGAAATTTTAGCAAATAGTCCAGACTCTTGTTCCTGGACATTGGGGTTGGTACTCATGCTTTGATCACTGCAAAGAATGCTGCTTTGAAGACTGATTCCCATGTATCTTAGTTTTTGTATGTTAATGTGGAGGTGTATTTTAATGGCAAAAAAAAAAAAAAGCTGATTCTTTTTCTGGCGTATGTATTGGTGATATATACCTAGCTTATTCTGAGACTCTGACTTCTGATCTATTTAAGTACTAATTGTAATATCTATTTTTGATGTCTTAGGAAATGCTAATCTGAAATTCACAAGTGAATTTCACACTGTGATCTCAGAACCCCATTACCCATGAGCATCTTTGGCCTCATAGATCAGAGGACAACTTTAGTAAATCAAGGGAGCCATAAATTTAGTGACTGTGAGTTCTTACTAAACTTCACTAAAATTTTCCTTGGCTTGTGTATCTAGTGAGTGGTCCGGTTTCTAATACAGTTTAGTTTGATTTTTCTCTCATAGCAATGAGCCAATCAGGAATCTGTGTGTTCCAGCCTTGGGCAGGTTCTGGGTCTGCCCCGGACACCAGCTGTGAGTTTTTATAGTCCTTTTGGAATATTTCCATTTGTTCTTAGGAAGGGAAGAAGCATCTTAAGGTCCAAACAGGCCATTATGAAGGATTTCTAAAATTGTTTTTATTGTGGTAAGATACATACATACATATATATAAATGTAAAATTGGTCACTTTTAAATGTACAATTAAGAACATTCATTCACATTGTTGTACAACCGTCAGTATTGTTCATCTCTAGAACTTTTTTCATCATCTCAGACTGAAATTATGTCCCCATGAAATGGTGTTCCTGTCCTGTTCTGCCCCCAGTTCATGGTAACCACCACTCATTCCACCTTCCACCTGCATGAATTTGCCCATTCTAAGTGCCTCTGTTAAGTGGAATCATACATTTTTCCTTTTGTTACGTGAGTTTTTTATGTCCAGGGGAATTCCATCTTATTTTGATTTTCTCTTTATAAATTCTTTTCTTACCTGAGGAAAAACATGGCTTCTTTTACTGAGAAATTACTTAATAGAGTTTTTCCTTTTCAATATTCAACCATATGTAAAAAGAGCTATACACAGTTGTCTAAAACCAGGAGAACTTTTGACTGTCATAAACTGGATCTTCATTTGCCCTATCTAGAAATTAGACATCTGTGTAATAATTCTGGTTTCTCATTGACCATTTAGCCAAACAGAGAAGATGCTATAGTCCCTACTTCTTAAAACTTCACATCTGTCTGATGACTAGACAAATTAGGTGACCTTTCAGATTCCTCTTCATCTCCAGCATCTCAGAATTAGAGGCCATTCTGCAATACAAAAAGCCTAGCTTTAAATCTCTCTTATTTTAATAAGAAGGAATATTAAGGAGCAGAAGGGTCTGGGAGACAGAAATAGAAGTGAGGTGGTCTAACTGGCAGAAGTCATGAGGAGGATGATACCTAGAGACAGCAAAAGCAGACCTTGTAGTACATATGACAGCATTTGTTGTCTTACATCTATGCTTGCATACAGTTTAATGAAAATACAACCTGTTATTTTGTATCATTCCATGTGGAAATCCAGAGAAATTCTGGGATCTATAATTTATCCATTCCCTTGAGTGACTACTATATATGCCCAGCATCTGTCACTAGGGATATGAAAATGAATATCAGTGAGGGGACATACAATGAATAGAAATGGGACCTTGAGAGGTGATTTGGTTCCTGCTGGCTGTTCAAAGTTTCTGCTGTGGACAACCCTCTATCTCCTGTTTCTATCTTGTTTCAGAATGGCCTCTCCCCGCATTAAAATTCCTCTTCTCCCAGTGTCCTTCTGAATGGAAGGTGGGTGATTATCTAATTAAATTTCTTCAGTAATTTGAAAACTTTAAAAATAAGCTTGCTAATGCAAATGAACCTCAGGTAGTATAGAGTGCTTCATGCATTTTGTGTTGCTATGATAAACACGAAGCTAACGTACAAAGAAAAAAGATTAATTTTGATTCACAGTTCTGGCTGCAGAGTTCAAGATCAGGTGGCTATGTCTGGTCAGGGCCTTATGCTGTGTCAACAAATGACAGAGCAATGGAAAGGGAAATAACCACATGAACTAGGGGTCAAGTATGAGGGGAATCCTTGCTTTATAATA